AGGACAGCACAGTAGCTAGCTGAGAGACCACAGCATCCAGGATTTCTCCCAGTTCCTACAAGGAATCGTGCCCACGTAGGTTGTACAGTGTTGCTCACATGTGGGACTCCTCCCATAGTCAAGCTCCACAAGGAATTCAACTTTGGAGGTGAAACCTTTTGTCCAGTGATTAGAGAAATTGAAGTAAAAGAAAAATCCCTACCTGGTCTTTTTATTTATTTTTTTATTTTTTTAAATTTATTTTATTTTTTTTTCTCCCCAAAGCCCCAGTAGATAGTTGTATGTCATAGTTGCACAGCCTTCTAGTTGCTGTATGTGGGACGCAGCCTCAGCATGGCCAGAGAAGCGGTGCGTTGGTGAGTGCCCGGGATCTGAACCCAGGCCGCCAGCAGCAGAGCGTGCGCACTTAACCGCTAAGCCACGGGGCCGGCCCTCTACTTGGTCTTTTTATTTTCTCATTGCTGCTGGAGGTGGCAGGGCCCACTCAGGTGCCCAGGCAGAGTCCAGGTCCCTTCAGCAGCTGCTGCCTGGCCATTGCCCACTAGAATGAAGACAGTTTCTTACACGCTTCCAGTGGGGGGCGTTTTGTCTCAGGTTCTCACAGCCAGGAATTTAGGGTCCGTTCCCTATCAGCGTGTCTCATGCAGAAGCGACGTTCCTAGAAAGCAGTCAGCTCGCAGTCTGGGGTCGGAGACTGTCCCTCCTTGGCCAGCGTCTGTGTCCCCCGCAGGGAGGAGGTAAATGGCGTGTTCTGTGTGAGCTCCAGGCGGCTGCAGTTAATCCGGCAGGTCCCTCCACGTGCACGCACTTCTCCCTGCAGGGATAATGCGTGCCGCATCCTTGGGGGCTTGGAGCGCGTAATCCAAACACAGCTTCCCCTCAGAAAGCAAGTGCTCAGCACAGCCTAAACCGCGCAGATTAAACTGTGCTGACGTGACCTCCCGTCTCGGGGCCTCTCTGGAGGCCCCCGTCTGCTGTTGGCACTCACCTAGAGTGTGACCGTCTGAACTTCTGCTTCCCCTGGAAGCTGCTGCTCAGGGCGCACAGCACCAGGTTGAGCGTGGTCTGGTGTAGGGACCACCCTGTACTCGGGTCAGCGGTCTCTGCCTCTCTACAAGGACTGCATCATCTGACCCCACTTCTGCCTGCCTCCCTCCCCACTCACCCCTGCCTCCGTCTTTGTATTCCCACAGGGCCCCAGCACAGGTGCTGAGCTGCCGCTTCGGCACTGTGGCTGCTGCCACGCTACTGCTCTGAAAGGCCTGTTATTTGATGACTGTTGCTCCTGACAGAAGATTGCCCCCGAATACCCTCGTACCTTTGTCCTCTGTGGAGACCGCACCAGGCTGCTGGCCTGAAGCCACTCTGGGTGGGGCTAGGAGCCAGCGAGGCACAGGCCCTGCCCTGCCCGCCATCCCCTCCTTACCGGCTCTTCCTCTGCTGCTGTTTCCAGGTTTTTTCACCGAGGAGGCAGAGACAGTACATCCATCCGGCTGGCCGTGTTTTCATGCAGCCATGAGGGTTGTCCCAGTGGAGTTCTCAAGCTGTTTGGCCAGAGCCCCTTTGGACAGTACAGGAGACCCCAGAGCTGGTGTGTACAGGTGGAGCTATGTACAGACCTCCCCACACCTGACCTTGAAGCCTTTGCTCACAAGCCTCTGAGCAGGTGGTCAGGTGACACGATTCTTCCGGCCTGAGCCAGGCTCACATGTCCACATGGTGACATCTGGTCTAGGTGGCCCCAGCAGGCCAGGCCCAGGTTGGTTCTAATGCTGGAGATGGGCTCCTGAGAAAGCAGTGTGCAGGCTCTGCAAATCTGGGCTCGGAACTACGGCACCGTCACCGTGGCTGCTGGTTCCTGAACGTCAGGAGGCCAGCGCAGGTTCCAGGGTGGGCAGTAGCCTCTGCCTCTTGGTGGAAAGACCTGCCAGGGCCCAGGGATGGGATACAGGGAGGCCTGGAAGGGCCACCATATAGTCCATGTACCCTACCCTATCCATTCCTGCCTTAAGAGTGGAGAAGGGAGGGCCTGGAGAGGCACAAACGGTGACAGTTGTATGAAATTGTGTTACCCACAGCCCCGTCAGGCTGCCTGGCACCAGTGGTTTGACTGAAGACGTCTGTGGTGATGCCCCCTTCTCTACTCTGGTTTTCCCGGCCTCTCAGCAGCCTGATTGTTTGAGCCAGAGAATTCCAAACAAATGCCTTTTTAATTTCCTTCATAACTTGGAGTCTGTGAAATTCCATTAAAATTGTCCACTGTACTAGCCAAGGCAGGTGCGTCTTCTGAATGGTCAGAGCCCTTCCCCCCTTTTCAGTTCTTAATAAAATCCACCACCCGCTGTGGCCCTGTCACATCCCCAGGCAGGACCGGGACTCATCGCTGGCCACGAACACCAAGTGGGAGCGCCTGCTTCACTGTGAGTGTGCGCAGAGGGCCTGCCTGCTGTGCTGTTGCTTTGACTCCGGGTGCAGTCCAGGCGGGCTACGTCCGCCCAGAGCTCTCCCCAAGCCACGGCCAGTTGGGCGTCCACTGCCGCCCTTTGCTGCCTCGCTTTCCAAGCGCCACTCCCCACTCCGACCAAACCAGATGATGAGGTGTCTTCATAGCCACCCTGGTAAACCCTCAGTCCCACGTCAGGTCTGCGCAGTGCCAAGCAAGGCCAGGCCAGAGCTTCCGCTGGCCCAGGAGGAGAAGGAGAAAGAAGCCATTTACACACAGGGCTACGTGCCGCCTGGGCTGAGGCTGCCCCTGGGACAGTCACGCTGGGAAAAGCCAAGAGAGGGGCCACTGCTTGGGGCTGCTCCCAGGAGAGGTGTTCCTCTACCACCCACAGTGAGAAGGGAAGGCAGAAGACCCCACCCACTGTGAAGACTATCTGTCAGTGTCCTGGAATCCGACCACTCACCTTGGTGTCCACATCCCACCCCCACGGCTCTGAGAATTCCACCGTGACCACGTAAGGTGGCACCTTGGTGTCCTCATGCTGCCCCCATGGCTCTGAGAAAGCCACCATGACCACATAAGGTGGCACCTTGGTGTCC